CCCCCCCCCCCCCCCCCCCCCCCCCCCCCCCCCCCCCCCCCCCCCCCCTTCGATCAATCGAGCCGGTACCAATCCAACTGCGTACTACTTGGCTAGCACGCTATTGGCATACCGACGGCTAAGGCCGAAATCGGTTCACACCTGCAATTGCAGGTGTGAACACAAAGGATTCGCTGTATCTACTCAGCTGCTCCGCTTACACTTGCCTGTGAAGTGTGAACAGCGGATTTTGAATCAGCGTTCTCCTCGAACGATATCGGTGTCGAAACACCGCTCTGACAGCGCTCACAGCTGATCATGGGGACTTGCAGAGGAGGGCGGAGGCAGCACTTCGCTCCGTGCACTCAACTGCCTTCGCCCCAGGCAAGCTGAAAAGAACTAAAAGGGTTCCAGGGGCACTCTGGAAAGATCAACAAACATGATCAACAAAAGGGCACTCAATCACTCATCAGTCATCACCACGACTTCCCCACTTCGTGTCTTCGTCTCCCGAATCTCAAGCTCGGGCTGTGGGCACACGTGGTCCTCGCCCGTGCGCCCCTCACTCAGCCTTCCGCGAACCACGCAGCCATAGCGCGCCGGCACCCGGCGCCTAGCACTCGGGCCCCTGCATCTCCTTTTGGAACTGCGCCGTCACGCCGACGGTGCGCGCGACGTGCTCGGCGCTCACGCCGACGCCCTCGCTCGCCGCCAGCGACTGTGCCAGCCGGATGGTGTTCTTGATCTGGCGGCCGTTGAGCTCGTAGTCGGCGAGTGCCGATGGGTCGAGCTCGCCGATCCCTGCCGCGCCGAGCAGGTTTGCCCACACCTCGGCGCGTGCCGGCTTGCCGAGCGCCTCGTACCGCAGCGCGACAGAGATGCGCGAGTGGAAGGCGTCGTCAAAGGAGCGGACGCGATTGGTAGTGAGAAACAGGACACCCTGATGGTACTCGAGGAGGCGAAGGAAGACGCCCACCATCGCGTTGCGGTGGATGTCGTTCTCCGAGCGCCGCTCGAGGAAGATGTCCGCCTCGTCGATGAGAACAACCGCGTCCCACGCCGACGCGACCTCGAGGATCTCGCGCAGCTTCTCCTCGAGCTCTGAGCACGAGACGCCGAGCTCGCCGACGCCGACAGAGTAGAG